AGAATTTCATGAGCGCGTACGTTCAACTGGCCAGCAGCACGGCGTAAAATGTGGGTAGGTACTTGGTGAAATCCTTCATACATGCATCAATACATAAGAACATGTGGGAATACATGGTCATTCGCACACATTAACATACATTAAGGATCACACTGAGTACTTACCAAAATGTGTTACTTTCGTAAGCTTTTGATGAGAACGACAGATAAATTGCTTCTGTTCATGTGCTATTTTGTTTGTTTTCAGAATTTAAAAAGAAAGGTTATACACATGTAAAACACCTCGACTTAATGGCGAGTGTGTTTGGTTAGCTCTTTAGGGGCAACCTGGTTATAACAGCCCCAAAACATGCGCCAAGAGTTGCGCCTAACTATGACAGCGTTTGCACATGCGCTGACGTTTGACTGGTTTGTTTCCCCTCACCCCTCCCTAATGTCACTCATTGTTTAAAAGATACGCTGACTTCAACATACAGGATTTGTGAATGAACGACGATATTCATCAGGAAATAGGTAGAAAAAAAGAGTACCCGTGAAACTGTGATTTGTTCTTATTTTGTTTCTGGCAGTTTTTGAAAAGACCTGATTCATGTTATTTCACGATGAAGCTAGGCAATTTTTTTTTTCAAGATTAAAAGTAAGGGAGAGATTTTGTAGACCATGTTAGGTAGCGTTATAAATGATATGAACAGCTTTGTGACAAACAATGATAAAAGGAATACGTAATTGAATGGTGAATAGGATATTTTATTAACCAAGTAACATAACGGACAAAATTATCGACAAGTGTTACCTTGCAATTGAATCCTTCGACCGGTTCTTGATCTTGAAGGCTACAGTAAGAAGATCCGTTCTTAGTAAGAACGACTTAGCCGTAAAGACAAGGTGAAAAATGTTTTTTAATAAATTCTAATGCATGCTGAATAAAGGCTATTCACGAAAGAGCTCAAAATGTTCAAACTGCAATACCTTTGGAAATTCTTCTTTGGGACGCCTATCCGAGAGGGGAAAGGGAGGGGTGGGGGGCACAAGTTCGGTTTTAGAAAAATGTTCAATTTATAAAAAGTTAGTAGATAGATACCTCTGTGTTGAATAAAAGAACGTTCCATTCTCCTCAAGCAAAACTGGGTGAACGCTAAATATACAGACATTTTTAAAGGGCTCAAGAGAGTTGGTTTTCATTCTTCAGAAACATTTGCATTTTCTTTTACCATTCTGCCGTGGAAAGAACACCATTGATTTGGGAACACCTTCATTCAGGGAAAACAAGTTTGGTCCCGGAGAAATGTTAATAAAACGTTTGTATTTGTTAGTCTATCGAAACGACACTTCTGTATAGGAGAAACCTAATCTTGTACGCAGACCTTCCACGGCCAAGCGGTTGTACAGTTCAGTTATAGTTACACCTTCATTCAACGTAATTCACAAAT